ATCAATGTTGGACTGTTGATGCTCATACTGACTTTGTCTCACTCTCATGAAGTTAGGAGGTCACATCTCACTCCCGTGCCTTTTAAAAAAAAAAAGGAAGAAGAGATTAAGCTTATGTAGTTGCAGGGTATAAATTTATCAGTAAAGACTATTCCTTTTAGAAGGAGAACATGCTTTGTATCAGAACGTCAGTGAACTTGAGGGAACCTCCGGTGAGAAGGGTTGAGGCACCATAATGGCACATCAGAGATTGTGACAGTGCCCAGGCTGCCAGGGTCTCATTGTGTTAAGTGGACGGTCACTATGCAGCCAAACCGACTCAGTGGCAGCTGGCAACATCAGGAGTTGGGAACCGTGGGGTTGAAAGAGCAGTGCTGGTCCAGAAGATCATCCTGGCCCCTGCCAGGGGCGTCTGCAGTGTGGCCCCCGCTGGGGGATCAGGAATGCTGGCAGGTCCGCCTGCTGAAAGAGGGCCGCAAAGGGGGCTGGTGTGGAAGGCCACAGAGTGCTAGCTGCTGGTCTGCAGGGAAGCTGCCTCTGTGAGTCTGCGGCAAGCTGTCTGTGGTTAGCCCAGGGTCACGATCGTTCTGCAGAGCTGGCTTTTGGAACAAGAGCTGCACACCGTAGGAAAGAGCAAAAGCATGCTGGGGGCCGTGGACACCTCTGCATCTCTCACCCCAAACAGTCTGCAGAGTATTAAGACTGCTGATACTTCTTTACCTCACAGTCTTTGCTCAGCCTCATTTTAAACAAAATGTAATTTAGGAACTTAACAGAAGGGATTCTGGGAAATGTAGTTCCTGGCACAGCTGATAGTAGAACTTTCCAGCAACATCCTCCTAGAAAAAAGAACATGGAAGTTAGACTAGGATGCTTTCCTTGTGCACGGTCATGGGCTGTTTATCATTGAATACAGAGAACCACCTCATGAAATATATTTATTGTAAACATGGGAGGTGCATATGAAGAATTTAGCAATCTGAATTTTTACCTATCTGAGAGCTCAAAGCTAATGTTTGTGTTCATGCATTGTGCTGCTTTTCATGAAATACTTCTATAAAAAATTTGTTTCCTTGTTTACTCGTGTAGTTAAATAATAAAAAGCTAAGAGAAATGGAGTTGACTCTGGCATCTCTAGCTATTTGCCATACGAGAACAGCCTGTGTAGGAGGCACACATAGCACCGCCTTGAGGTCAGGGGAACATCGTCCGGGCAGGCAGGGGAGCAAGGCTTGTGTGTCTCTGAGAGCTACTTTGACCTCCCTTTAGATGGTTTTGGAATTAAAAAAAATTAACAACAAACCTTTACTTACTATGTGTTTTTAATTTGTACTTTCACTGATTAATAACAGCCCCATGAGGTATATACAATTAACTATCTCTATTTTATAGGTATAGAAAATGTAACATATAATGGTCATGAAACTTTCTCAAGCTACAGGTGCTTGGGTCACACGTCTGATTTGACTCCTTAGAAGGGGTTGATGTCTGGGCTCTGGTCCCTCAATTATCAGAATTTGACAACTCACTGAGAATGCCACAGAGGACAGTGCAGGGGTGGAGCCGACCAGGACTGAGCTTTGGCAGACCCTGTTTATCTTCTTTAAAAGAAAGTATAGCAGTGAAAACATCACCACCACCTGCTATATTAGCAGAGACAGAGCAATGCGGGAGCCATCCTTTGGGGGCTTGGTTAGCCTTTAATGGCCATTCTAATCTCAACTCATGTTGTTTTGGTTCACTTGACAAATTTCCTTCCAGAGATCAGCTCAATGTGGACCCATCAAACCATTTCCTTAGATAGCATTGTCTCATGATGCAACTCACCTGTTAACCCTTTTGTTTTCAGCAATTCTGTTTATTCTGATTAACACATTTTTTTAGTCAAACAATATGGTTGAAAGACCTCAGTATAAGAGCATATTGTCAAGGCATGATGAATATTGCTTTTCCAGCTGAGCCAATGAGTGAAGTAAACTATTTAGACAGCTTCTTCCTGAGGAAAAAACAAGTGGGAAATACTTTAAGTTTAGTTTCTATATATTAGATGCATATATATATATATATATATATATATATATATATATATATATATGTATTTATTTACTAAAACCAAGTCATTGAACGTAGTTTTGTGTTTGTGCATGTATGTGTGTATTTTACAAAAATAGCCTCCCTTCCCATTCCCACTCCCTAGAAACAGCACTTGTACAACTTTAGGGAGTTTCACTGGCGTTTTCAACTTTCACTTTTCACTGTATTGCTTCTGCTTGGTTTTTAGTTTCAGATTGTTTCTGTTTGAGTACCACATTGGTAGAAGAAGATGTGTGCCTTGTTATATGCTGTCAAAGAAACTGCGTCGCATAGTGACCCTGTGTGCAGTAGCTCTGAACCTTGCCCTATCCTGAGTCAAGGCCACCAACTCTGATACACTTGGCTCCATTGCCACAGTCACTGTGTTGGTCCATCTCATCTAGAGTCATCGTCTTCTGCACCGGTCCTCTGCCCTTCTAAGCATGATGTCTTTCTCCAAGGTGCAACTTGGTTTCACCCTCACCAGAACAGTCCTCTTTGTTCTCTTGGCAGTCCATGGTGTGGTCAGTACTTTTCTCCAGCACTGCACTCAAAGGCATCAGTTTTCCTTCTGCCATCCATAGTCATTGTCTGGCTCTAAGATGTATAGCAAGCAATTGAGAAGACTAGCCTGAATCGGGCATGCCTTAATCTCTAGACTGACATCATTGCTCTTTGGCACTCTGGAGAGATCCATGACAGCAGATACTCCTATTGCAGCTTGTCTTTTCATTTCCTGAACGCTAATGCCAAGAATATTGAATGTGGATGGAAGCAAGATGGAATCATTAACAACCTCAGTCTTTTCTCCATCTGTCATGAGGTTGCCTCTTAGCCCAGTGGTGAGGATTTCTGTCTTCTTGATGTTTATATGAAATCCATATTGAAGTCCGCAATCCTTGATCCTCTGCAGCAAGTATTACAAATCCTCCTTCATTTCAGCAAGCCAGGTTGTGTCATCTGTACAGTACAGGTTGTTGATGAAGCTTCCTCTGATCCTGATTACTTTATAGAGTCCAGCTTCACAAATTATTTGCTCAGCATACATATTGAATAGGTATGGAGAAAGGTACACCCATCCTGATTCCCCATACAGTGTTTACTCTTCTCAGACAACAGCTTCTTGGTCTAAGTATAGATTTAACATGAACACAATTAAGTTCTGGATTCCTATTTTTTCTCAGTGTTAGTCATAGTTTGTTAGGTTCCACACAGTGTGTAAAATATATATACACACACACACACATATATATACATATACATATAATATAAATATTATATAATAATATAGATATATATTATAATATATTATACATTATAATATCTATATCTATCTATCCATCTATCTATCTAACTCTATCTCTCTATCTATCAGGCTGCAACCTTAATGGTCAGTATGTAGCAGCCACTTGGTGGGAAATAGATGGCCATGATGATTGAGGAAGGTCACCAGAAGTTGGAACCAGTTCCACAGCATTGGAGTTTTTTTGTTTGAGCTGTTTTATATCAGTACTTGGGAAAACTGAGGAAGAACTGAAGCATTTGCTGCAAATGGTCAAGGACTGTAGTCTTCAATATGGGTTTAACATCAATAACACAAAGGTTCTCACCACTGGGCCAATAGGCAGCACCATGTTTGATGGAAAAGAGATTGAGGTTGTTAACTCTTTCGACTTGCTTGGCTCCACAATCATCACTCTTGGCACCAGCAGTCAGAAAATCAAAAGATGAATGGCATTGGGGAAATTTGTTGTCAGGGACCTCTCCAGAGTGCCTGAGGAGCAATGATGTCAGTCTGGAGACTAATGTGTACTTGATCCAGGCTGTGATCTTCACAATTACATGCTATGCATCAGAGAGCTGGACAATGGCTAAAGATGACAGAAGAAGAATTACTAGTGCCTTTGAGTTGTGGTCCTGGACAAGAGTATTGAACATACCATGTATCATCAGGAAAGCAAGGTCTGTCTTGAAGAGGGTGAAACCAAGTTTTTCCTTGGAGGCTAGGATTTTGAAGCTCTGTCTCACATACTTTGGGCATATGGCCAGGAGGGACCAGTCCTTGGAGAAGGACATCATGCTTGAAATGGTGGAGGGACAGCACAGGAGAGGAAGACTCCAGGTGAGATGGATTGACACCATAACTGAGTCAGTGGGATTAACTGTGTCGGAGTCAGACTGGCTCAGGGTAGGGCAGGGTTCAGAGCTATTGTAGTGTCTCTATGTAGAGTCGTATTGAGTTGCAGGGGACTTGATGGCACATAACAACAACAATATCAGCACTAGTTGTTTTTGGTGTTAGATGCCACCAAGTTGACTGCAACTCAGAGCGACCCTAGGACCAGCAGATCTGAACCTTGTCCTACTTGCACCATCCGACGACTTCTGTCATGCTCAAGCCCTCCGTAGTATTCATGGAGTGGTTATGTCTTGTGGAGTGTTTTCTTTTCTTTTGCCAACCCTTTACCTTCCCAGTGTGATGTTCCTCTCCAATGACTGGCTCCACCCAGGGAAAATGCTCAGAGCATATGAGAGGAAGTTTCACCCTCCCTGCTCCTCTAAGGAACGAGCGCTCTGGTTGTACTTCCGTCAAGCCAGATTTGGTTTTCCTTTCGGCAGTCTCTGGGGATGTTCAGTGCTCCACGCTAACCCCGTGATTCAGCCTCCTGTTGACTAGATTCACCTCCTGGAGACCTCATGTGTCAGAGTGGCCCTGTGCTCCGCAGGGCTTTGTGGCGGTAGACTCTTAGAACTTTCTTGCAAGGTGCCTCTGGGTGGACTGAATGTCAGTTCTTTTGGTTCACAGCTGGATACAGTGGCCATTTGTACTATGGGGAGCTCTGGGCTGGTTTGCATTCTAGCTGTTGATCACACAGATTGTATGTCATATTGCCTCCTCTGAAAGCCTGTTACCGCTTTGCCTTCAGCTTCCAGAGCTAAGCTCAGTATGATCAATACCATGTCCAAAATCCGTGGCCAGGAGAAAGGACCAGGCTACCCGCAGGCAGAAGCCCTGTTGGCAGAGGCCATGCTCAAGTTTGGGAGAGAGCTTGGAGATGACTGCAACTTTGGTAAGTGGGCTTTCTCCCATTTCAATTCTCTGTGTATGCCTAGGGGCTTGGGCCAAGAAGAAATTATATAGGAAATTGTTAAAACCATTTCATATTTTAATTATCAGTTTTAAACTGTGTACACATGGGTAGCAAATTTATTTGCAGAGTGGTTTAATCCTTTTCAGTGTAATCTGTCTTCAAGTTCTCTTTTAATTTAGCCCCCAGTCTGTTGGGATGCTGGTAACTGACAGTCACTGTGGTAGTTCCTGAGCTTTGGAGCAGTCTAAACAGGCACGTTCAGGGGGCTGGGTCTAGCTCTCTACCTCACAAGCTTTCTCTTAGATCTCAGCACTCTTTGTATGTTGTACTAGTTCTGCTCTCTCAGGGGAGACATAGTTGATTTCTTCTCCTCTATTTCTTCTATCACTCGGCTACCGAAGTAAGAGCCTTCTGTTTTCAGCACTTTGTGATGAGCCTCACCAGATGCCTCCTCACCCTGGTTTCACTCGACTCTTTGGGACCAGTATTTACCTCTCTTAGATGCATCAGCATTAAAGAAGCTCACCCATGGGGGAAACTGGTACCCACAAAAGAGCTCAGGAGCCTCTTTGGTTTTTGAGAAGGAGCAGTGTTTTCTTTACCGTGAGGAATAAAACTTTCTTAGGAGTATGTTGCTCAGGATAAATTGTTATACATAAAAAGACACTGTTGTCTGGAGGCTGTTTCATACTCTCATCTAGTTACCTTCAGAAGACAACCATAAATGTTTTCATTTGTGGAGAGTCTTCTTGTTGCAAATGCATTTATTTCATCTCCCTTCTTTACGGTAAACGAGCTTCATTCTGCCATTGCAGGCCCAGCACTGGGTGATGTGGGGGAGGCCATGAGGGAACTCTCAGAGGTCAAGGACTCTTTGGACATGGAAGTGAAACAGAACTTCATTGACCCCCTTCAGAACCTTCATGACAAAGATCTGAGGGAAATTCAGGTATGTGCTCCCAGTCCTCCGAGATGAGTGGTTTAACTCCTGCAGTTTTGTCTGAAATCGTTTCTAACCTCCCCTGTGTGTGGCCAGTGATGGGCTCATGTGCTACACAGGTCCAGCAGGACAGCGGGGAGAAACCACAAGTGTACCAGCCTCCTGCCCTGGGCCACTTGCGCTCAGGACATTCCACTTCTCTGAGCTCATGAGGAGGAGTTTCTTCAGACCTCTTTTATTATTCCAGAATGATCATTATGCTTTGCCTTAGGATATACAGTCTTGTTAATTATAGTTTTCTGGAATGGTTTCATCTCCTGAAATGCTGAATGTGCCAGTTTTTATTTAAATAAAGAGTTATTCTATCACTCTAAAGCCATATATTTTTACATTTTTGTAATAGTTGTTAGGATTGAGAACGAATACCCAACTGTTCTCATTTTTAAAATGCATGGAAGAGTTGAGCTGTTTCTATTAAAGTTCAAGTGGCTTTTCCTCTAGTAGGTAGTTTACTCATTTATTCAGTGTTTGTTGAACCTGTCTGGAGCTTAATTTTCTTGACTGTAAAATGGACTTACAGAACCCAAAAGGAAATCTCCTCCTTTTCCTCATCCTCACCTTAATTCATAAATAAGAATTATCTTGAAGAACATATAGCATCTTAGAGCCACAGATAGTGAAGCTCTGTCTCACATACTTTTGGCATCTTAGAAGGGCTTATTCCTTGGAAAGGGATGTCATGCTTGGGAAAGTAGAGGGTGAGTGAAAGAGAAGACGACCCTCAGTGAGCTAGACTGACATAATGACGCAGCAGTGGGCTCAGATACTTCAGAGATGGTGAGAATGGCACGGGATAGGACGGGGTTCAGATTTGTTGATCATAGGGTCACTGTGAGTCAGACTTGATTTGATGGCACCTAACAACAACAACAGCTATCTTAAATCATCTGTAGGTCCACCACTTGTCCAAAGTCACATAGCTAATAGGTAACAAAACCACTCTATATCCAAAATACAGTTCTAACTCCAGTGTTCCAGTGTTCCTCAACCCTACAACTATCTGAAAACACAGATGTCTTAAAGGAATGTCCCTTAAAACAAAACAAAACATTTTGTTTGAAGCAGGACATAAAATGGGGGCAGAAGCCACTGTGGGAGGGGAAGTCTTATTTCTTAATTTCTCTCAATTCTCCTCTTCATTTCCACTTGATACATCCGAGTAGCAAAAGAAAATCCAGTATTTTCTCCCACTCATTCGTAGTTGAAGACCACAGTTCTCGGAAAACGATTTACTAATCTTAGCTTAGGAAACCTGTTTTCCCACCTGCTTTCTAGAGATTTCAGACAAGGAGATACAGACTGAAGACTGAAGCTCCTTAGATGAAATTCCTTCAAAGAGCCCTTCCTCCTTAGGTTTATGGTTGAGTTTCCTCAGATCAAGAGAAAGTAAATTGAGTGTTTCTAAAATCTTCATCATCAGCTCCCCAAGGGTGTATGTTAAATATAAATTCCAGAGAGATCAGTTGACACAAAGACTGCCACCGTGGACGTGGGCATGACAGAAGTGGTAAGCATGGTGCAGGACGGGACAAGGTTCAGAAGGTCACGTTGCTGTTGTTGTTAGGTGCTATTGAGTTGAGTACAACTCATAGCAACCCTATGAACAAAAGATCTGAACCTTGTTCTATCCCAGGCCATCCTCACACTTCCTGACACACAAGGGCCCATTGTGGCAATCACCATGTCAGTCCACCTGTTTGAGGGTCTTCCTCCCCTTCACTGACCCTCCACCCTTTCCAGCATCATGTCCTTCTCCAAGGCGTAGCCCCTCCTAGCAACATGTCCAAAGTATGTGAAGTCATCATGAGTTACTTAACTCAAGGACACATAACAGCAACAACAGGCCTCATCTCCAGAAGACCTTCTTCAGGTGACCAAGAATCCATATTTTAGGTGGATTCCACCAGACTGGATTACCTCAAAGAGAAATCCCTTCTATTATGAGCACTGTGATTCTCATTATGTAATTTAAAAGCAAAGTTAGCTTTCTTGCTTACTGTATTTGATGGAAAATATTTTTCATCTGCCTTCTCAAAAGATACCATTTCTTTTGAACATGGAGACTTGTAGACCCCATGCATATGTGTACTGTGTATGTGCACTTTCCAGCCTCTGTCGTGGGGTGAGGGTTACATTCCTACTTGGCTTTTTCTCAGCCAGAATGAAAAGTCCTAGTATTTCACACAGTTCCACTTTCATTCTTTTTATAGTTTTAGCTTTTGGAGGTGTTTGCCCCACTGATGTGTATGCATTTGCTTTTCTAGTGACCTTATATCTTAAACTTAGCCCATCTTATTTTGGAAACAAATGGGTGTGGTGGGGAATTGAGCTGCAAAAAAAGCCTTCTCTCCATAAACCACCTTTCAAAACATATTCCTTGGCCTTGATTTTTTTTTCAGCATCACCTGAAGAAGTTGGAGGGCCGACGCCTGGACTTCGATTATAAGAAGAAACGACAAGGCAAAATCCCAGATGAAGAGCTCCGTCAGGCTCTGGAGAAATTTGACGAGTCCAAAGAGATTGCTGAGTCAAGCATGTTCAATCTCCTGGAGATGGATGTGAGTGACTCCTGTGGTTTTTAATATAATCTTGCCAGTTGAAATACAAAATTAATCTGTTAAAGTGTAGTACAATTAAAACTGCTACTATCTTGTTTCACTCTATGATGAGAACTTTGGTAGGTGATGGTTTCTTTTAAATAATATGAGCTTACAGAGTAGATTCTACATTCTTGTTGTTTGTTTACAGTGAATTTCTGTTAGCTCGGTTGTAAGGAGTTGCACCGCCATCCCAAAGGCATGTCGCATGTCACTCGAATTCACCAGCTGTTCTGCAGGAGACGGGCAGTCTCCTCCCATATGATTTTTGTTGTTGTTGTTGTTATGTGCCATTGAGTCGTTTGCGACTCATAGCGACTCTATGTACAACAGCCCTAAACCCTGTTCTAGCCTGTGCCAATCGCACTGCCTCTGACACAACCATCCTGATTACCCCAGTCACTGAATCAATCCATCTCATAGAGAGTCTTCCCCTCTTGCGCCATCCCTCCACCCTCCCAAGCATGCTGTCCCTCTCCAAGGACCTGTCCCTCCTTGCAACATGCCCAAAGTATGTCAGATGAAGCTCAAGAATCCTTGCCTCCAAGGAGTAGCTTGGTTTAACCCTCTCCGGGATGAATCTTGTTTGTTTTCTTGGCAGTCCATGGTACATTCAATACTTTTCTCCAGCACCACAGCTCAAAGGCATCAATTCTCCTCTGTCCTCCCTAGTCATTGTCCAACTCTGATGCATAACAAGTGATTGCAAAGACCATGGCCTGTGTCAGGTACACCTTAGTCTCCAGCAAGACACCGTTGCTCTTGAGTACTTTA